TCGTCGCAAACGAATGCCGCAGAAGTATGTAGACATATTGAATTCACTCTACTCACATACTTCTGGTAGCGTAAGGGTCTACGGCGAGCTGAGTAGGTCGTTCGTAACTAGCAGCGGTGTTCGCCAAAGGTGCCCTCTTTCGCCATTCCTGTTCAGTTTTGTCATAGACGAAACACTGGAGAACATACCAAGTAGTCTCCAAAGTGTAGGTATTGAATGGGCAGCTGGAGAAGAGCTGTGCAATTTGGAATACACTGACGATATCGTTTGCCTGTTCGAATCTATGGAGGATGCGCAAAGAGCACTTGGCAGATTAACAAGTTCTGTCGCTCCGTTTGGCATGTGCTTTGCACCTTTAAAGTGCAGAGTGATGCTACAAGATTGGGTGTCGCCGAGTTCCGCTCTGAAACTAGACGGTTAGAAACTAGCTGTAGTTGACTGCTTCTCGTACTTAGGTAACTGCGTGACCAACGACGGTAGCGCATCAAAGGAGATAACCGCCCGCATCTCCAAGGCTCGAGCAGCATACGCAGGACTTAAACACCTATGGCGGCCCCGTGACGTTTCACTGAAGTTGAAAAGCCGTGTATACTGCGTCAATGTACGATCAGTTCTGCTGTACGGTTGAGACCTTGAATTTGCGTATAGAAGACATCCGTCGTCTAGCAGTGTTCGACAATCGATGCTTACGTAGCCTGGCCCAAGTGTGATGGAGTGAGCGGGTTAGTAACTTAGACGCAAGCCGTCGGGTGTTTGGGAATACATCCAACAAAAACTCGCTATCGCATCGAATCCAGCTCAATAGGCTTCGTTGGTTAGGACACGTGTTGTGTATGTCCGACGGTCGCCTACCACAGGGCGCCTTGTTCGCAGTGGCTGTTACAGGCTGGAGAAAGTCAAGTGGAGGCCAGCAGATGACGNGTGGAGACGAGGCATGAACAAATTCACAGAGCGATTAGGTAGAGTCAGTGTCTCTCGGCTTCCGGGTTGGGGTCCAAAAGACTCCGAAACCGCATGGTTAGAGACACTGAAGATCATGGCCGCGAACCGACAGCAACGGCGATCATGCTGCCGCTTCTTATCAGACCAGAATGCTTGAAACAGTATGTATGCACAGCTGGACTGTTTACTCTTTGTGTTGACCATAGATGTCCACTTTCTTTTCCCGTCCCTAAGAATAGGTCCAATCCCTGTCATCCTTACACATTATCACTTACTGTGTATGCAATATGAGTTTGGCAGAGATCAGTAAAGTTCGCTTCACTGTATTACGCTGTACAATGATGATATGTTCAGTCGTTGTACCTCTAAAATGCTATTCCCAAAATAAATCTACGGCATACTACAAATTGGTAGGACAAACCGTTGATGTCAAGGGTTCACTGACTGAATATTTTTATTCCATACATGCCTTTTTCTGTACGCTATATACACCAAACATTTATAACAAAAAACAATAAATTACCATTAAACAGAATTATGAAGAATGAAAACAAGTGATTCCTAAGAAGTCAGGTCTCATGTTCGCTAACCACTTCAAAATAACAAGAGTAGATTGGTGGAGAGATTTAAGGGTAGTTTATGATTACCAGGTGAGCTGAATGGAACGTTTTTATTTTTCTTAATGATTTGTTTGGCACAGTCTGACGCTAAACGTGTGTGAAATATATATGCTTCACACATGTAACTAAATTAAACTTAACCGTTCAGTTTTCACAACTATTAATCATGTATCTCCGTTCGGTAGAGTTTTGGTTGCTTCCTCATATAAAGGCGGGGAGAAATTGGAACATTGGTAGCAAAAACAAAGTTAAAATGGAGTTCCGGTCGATTAAGAATACAAAGGGGTTGATATATACGAGTGACACCGTTTACGACACCTAGTTATATCGCTGTCTTTGATCAGTATTCGATGAAATCTGATCTACAGTTGGTGTTTAACTATATGAAGTTGGACATCATCGCGTCTTATAGCTGTATTTACGGGATCTACCGAACCCACTAAGTGGTTCTAACAGAAAAATAATCAACAAAAGTGTAATTTGGAAATAAATCACAAGCAAACGATTACAATTTATGGGGGTTCAAATGATTTGGTCAAGTTCCTTGGTGTACTCCAGCATGACTTTTGAGACGTCGGCAGAAGGTATTATATCATCTTCCTGCTTTGTGTCCTTTTGAAAACGGTAGATTCGATTATTGTCTAATTTCCAATTTCTCTGTTTCCCGTAGGCCAACATAGATTGTTCGTCCTCATAGAAAAGTGTCGGAATGGCATCTTTCAAGGATAAACTATCGTATGCCGA